CAATCCATTCTGTAACCTTTGCAATGAAAAGGCATTTTGTGGTCCAAATATGAAAATTATATAACACTGTAGCCCTCAGCTGAAGGTTCTCCATCTGTGTCTCCCACAATGATCCTCCCCGTAGCCATCATGCCCTTTCTACAGGTGAAGAAACAGATTCAGCGAGGTGTATTCCTGGGTTCCCGGTCCCCACTGCCTGGTGACAGGGTGTCCAGGCTGCCTGGTGGAGTTAGCTGGGTCTGCCTCTGGGTTCTGGCTTCTCTGCACATGAGTTGGTATGGTGGGGGAGGGGATGTCATTGGTTAGGCGAGAAGTGTCTGTGGGCAGGCTGGCAAAGAGGAGCGTTGAGAGAATGGGAAAGACCTGTGTTTCCTCGACTATTTGGATCTCTGTGCCAGGCCCTGTTGAGGGTCTGGCTGTGGATACAGCTGATGTCTTCTTGAGGAGTTCGCATCTGGAGAAGGGATGGGCAACCTGAAGTTGGAAAGACCTGAGTTTAGTCTCAAAGCTCTGCAGCTTCTGGGCTCGGGGATCTTTTAGGRCCTTCATTTTGTTATCTGTACAATGTAGTTAATAATGACCCTGACCTCAGAGTTGTTGTGATAAGTGCAATGACAGGATTGCACTGGGGACTGRGCACAGAGGACAGAGGAGGGGTCTCTTGCTGTCTTGGAGGGCCAGGTGGTGTCCTGGGGGAAGTGATGTCCACACGGAGACCTTAGGGGAAGAGTGGATAACAGGCTCCTATGCCAGGTGCTGCTCTAGTTGGGCTGCAGTCTGGGCTTCTGACTCGATTTCCATTAGGGCGAGGTCATAGCTTAGGGAGGTCTGTGGTTCCCTCCTGGGACATGGGAGCAGATTTGCTATATTCAAATCAGGGATGTCTGTGTGCATTTGGGTGGGGGCATTTGGTAATGGAAGCATCAGGAGACCAATTCCTGTAGGACCTGGTAGCAGAAGAGTGATGTGATCTCACTCKGGCAGCTCTTGGGGAAGAAACCACAGGATCAAGGGAAGAAGGTGGGAGCCCTTCTTGATGTTGTGTGACCTCAGCCTTTGGCTCCTTCCCTTTCCTGTCCTGTGAAAACAGCTAGGACTACCAGGAGAATTAGGTGAGAGATCGAGAGTTCCTGGCCAGGGGACCCTGTGCTCACCAGGGTTCGTCTTCATTTCCATGATGAATTTTTAATATATATTTATTTTTTAGTTGTAGGTGGAAACACAATGTTTTTATTTCATTTTTACATGGTGCTGAGGATTGAATGCAGTGCCTCACACATGCTAGGCGAGCACTCTACTACTGAGCCAAACCCCAGCCCTCCATGATGGATTTTAAAGGCAAACATGAGGAAGAGCATACATTGCCTTTTATGCTCCCCTGAATATCAAAACCGCCTGCTCTCTGCCCCTAGCACTGAGGCCTGYGTGTCATCTCCCATCCTCTTCATGCGCCCTCACATCACTGCGACTGGGTTGCTGCTGAGGGCAGATGGAGCCCAAGGCYTTTCCACAGCAGGAGACAGATGGGGGAGTGCTGCATGGTTCCTGCTGGCTCTGACAGGCTGCCAAGGCCAATGTCCTGATGCCAGGCCAGGTTCCTGATGAGGAGGGAAGGGGTCCCATGCAGGTGCTGGAGAGGGGCACACTGGCCAGYCCAGGGGTGCGGAGAGGGCTTCCTGAAGTTGGGAGGTCCATGCCAGGAAAGGTTGCTGGTGGGGGCGGGAGGGAAAGAGGAAACCTGTAATCCAGGCATCCAACACACTTCCATATCTTTGAAATCCCAGCAAAAGAGAGGCAGGGACCAGATCCATGATGGGGAGCTGCAGCAGGGCAGGACAGAGTCACAGGGAGTAGTCACAGGGGCAGAAGAGGAGACCACTGAGAAGGCTGCTGCAGGTCATAGGAGCTGGGGACCTGGACAAAGGGGTTAGGGAGGATGGAGAGAAGGTTTCAGAAGCCACAGGGCCACACTTGACTTGGGGATTGACTGAACTTGGATAAACCTGAGGGAGGAGAGTTAGTAGATGCCCAGGTGTCTGACCTGGCCCCTGGTGGGTGGTACCACCTCTACAGAGATGCCACCCCCAGGAGAGAGGGCAGGAGAGGATGGCGTGGGCTTTCCTCTAGTATGAGCACCCTGGGTAATACCCTTGGGAGTTGCTCAGTTGGTCTGGAGTCCTAGGGGAAGGTCAGCCCTGGGTGTAGAGGTGGGCATCGCTACAGATGGACAGAGGAACCTCCTGAGTGCCGAGCTGACAGAGTGGAGGATGGAGCTCAACAGAGATGTGTGGGTGTGCAGAGTACCACAGGAGCCTGGGGATGGGTGCACAGGACTGGGACCCAGAAGGATGCCCAGATGCAGGCTGCTAAGGGAGGGAAGTGAAGGAGAYAAGAAACAGAAGCAGCTTGTAAACCTGACAAGGAAGGGTGGGGAGGAAGGCTTCCTGGGAGACACTATGGATGAGGAAGTTTGGGGCTGTGGGTGTCAAAGGTGTTCAGTATGTCACCAAAGAGTGAGAGCTTTTTCCTGTGTGTGTGYGCGGGGGAGGGGGGAGCTCAGCAAGAGTTTGACACAAGAAAGACTCAATCAGACCACATTGAATAGCCAGCTGTGTGGGGCAACCATGTCCAGACATATGTCCATGGGACTCTGGTACTCAGTGGACAGAGTGCAGGTGGCTCTCCCTGCCCTCTTACATTCCAACTCATGTAGACTCAGCRCAGCCAGATTTTCTCAGTGGGGATATAGGAGCAGAATCCGGAGGCCGCTGTGGAGTGTGGATGAAGGGCCAGGGCTAGCCCTTCCCCCTCTTTGTCWCTTTGTTCTCAGCCTGCTGGGCCAGTCTGTGCCCAGCATAACTGCCTCCACCCTTCCTCCTGTCTGCATTTGGGTSCCATAGGCTCCTGGTCTCCAGGACCCTCACTGGGAGCCCGCTGTGGGTTCTGCCTGACACGGCAGGTATTACCTCAACCAGCAGGCAGTCTTGGTAGAGAAAGTGTGCTCTGTGGGAATACACCGTCCACCCTGGGAGTGCCTTCCATGTACCTYCTCCACTGCCCTGCACAGCTGACCATGGTCTGTCATTAAAAAGGTTCCTCGATGTAATGTGTTTTGAACTGCTTACCATGTGCTAGATCCCAACCTAAGCATACCATCTAATCCTCTTCAGTCTTTTGAATGGATTCTCCTGTTATACCCATTTCAAAGATGGGGGTATTAAAGCTCAGATTGATTATACAACTTGACTATGGACTTACATAAGTGGTTATTTAGGAGTTTTTTTTTTAGTTGTCAATGGATCTTTTTATTTATTTATTTGGTGCTGAAGATCAAACCCAGGGTCTCACACATGCCAGGCAAGTGCTCTACCACTGAGCCACAACTCTAGCCCTGATATTTAGGACTATTAATG